CCCGCTCCCCGCCTCCCTCCCCTTCTCCTGGGAGAGCTCCCGGACGGGACGTGACCGCTGCCGGATTGAAAAGGCGGGCTATGATTGGACGGCGCCGAGAAAGGCGGGCCGGGATTGGCGGGCCAGACGCTGCCTCGGGCCCGGATTGGCGGGGCTTGAAGCCCCCGGGGCCGCGGCCGCGGGAGGTGCTCGCGTGGTCGGGAGGAGGGACTAGGGCCGTGTCGGAGGGACCCTTCCCGCGGGTCCGTGGCCGTCCCGGGTCCCCCCCCAGGACCCCGTCCCCTGCCCCGCCCCTTGGTCGGGCTGCACCCCCGGGGTCCCGGCCCCAAGGCCCCTGCAGAGCCCCTCGGGGAGCCCCCCACCGGCACACGGGGCGGTTCCGGGGCGCGAAGGCGGACTGTGCGGCACGGGGGACCGGGGAGCAGCGGCGACGTGGTGGGCCGGGAGTCGGCGGCGGGGAGCGGGGAGGACGCAGAGCGGCAGCGTGCCTCTGACCGCCTCTCCCCACACAGCAGTTCTGCTTCTGCGGGGACTGGGTGCTGGCTGAGATCAGCTCCCTGGCCGAAATCTTTTAAGTGCCCGCCCCCACCCCCATCCCCCTGCCCGCCCCAGGCCCGCTGCCCACCCTCCTTCTCCTGCGCAGTCCCTGCTGCTGCTGAAGTTCAGCGCTATTTCAGTACTTGTTCTACTTGTGGTTCTGAAAAAAGTTAGAATCAGGATAGCCAAAGCAACATAGAAAGTCTATTCCATCTTCAACTACACTACAGGGCAAAGGAAAGAAGTGATCCTACCCATCAGCAGAACAGGGAAAGAATGAAGATTAAGTCTGTGAGCTATATAAGAGAAAAATCACACTGTAACAACTTAGAAGATTGCTCCAAGACCACAGTCACAGGAAAAGGGAAGAGAGCCAGGGGCAGAAACTGTAAGGCCAAAAAGATGATGGACACATCTGTGCATCAATCAGGTTCAGAGGTCACTGCATGCCCCAAGCCTAACGAGTTCTCTGGTTTATGTGTGTTATACACCTCTTAATTACTTGAATAGAAAATTTACAATTGAACTTTCACAAAGGTTACAGAGTGATATCCCTGCACTGACCATTGCAGCCGAGCTTCTGCTACAGATTCTGACACGTCAGGTGACTGAATGTTTGCTCGTTTTCTAGACTCTCCTTACAGTCCATCCAGGTCATGAAATATAGAGGGGATTTCTTGAGAGGCAGCTTTTAGACCTCATTCCCTTACCTTCATGGTCAATGCCATCAGCGTCACTCTCCCTCTCTTCTCGCTCTTCATCGAGAGTTCCTCGTGTTAGTATTAGCTCAGAGGGACCCCTTGCAGAAGCATCAGGTCCTTGACGGGAACAGAAACGGCTGTACACAAACCAGCTTGCTAAAGGTAAGGGAGCGTGTGCACCGACAACTTCTGTCTGCACAGAAACACAGCAATGAACACCTGCTCTAAGGGGACAGAAAGCTGCTTGTGGATCCCAGACACAGGACAGACTCCATCAGCACCTACTCGCCTCATCTAAGGAACAGTGCAGCCAACAGCAGAGCTTTCCCATATTCTGATCTGACCGTTTTGCCTTTTCTAAAGTATTTCATTATTTCTAGTAGGTCCACTGCTTTAGCTACACAGCGGGGTTTCTTCCAAACCTGTGACTGACACAGGAAGAGCTAAGTGTGACCAATCCCACAGGAACTAAAGCCCTGCTCCTCTAACATGGAGCTGCTTTCACACTTCTGCTGTGAGGACAAAGGAGCACTGTACTACTTCACAAGGCAAACTCTTCAGAAAACTTCTGCAGTAAACTTTATCCTCCCGGGGAGGTACCTGCCAGTGTGCTGCCCTGCACACACACGCTGCCCATGTCCTTCCACAAGTGTTCCAGCTGCTCTCTCTTTTGTTTATTTTGAGCTTTCTCCCGTAGATAAAGATTTACATGTGGATTCTGAGAACATTTAAAACATCAGGAGAAGAGAAACCTCGCCCAAACCCAGCAGCCTGTCCCCCAGTCAGAGAGCAGAGTCACTGTGCAGGTCTTACATTTCAACTAAGGTTACACAGAACTTCTGACTAAGCATGGAAAGCAACCTCCAGTCAGGTGGGATTCTAGGACGTTTTCAGCAGCGCCGGGAAGCCAAACTCTGTGTAGCTGTGCCTGCAGAGAACTGTCCTTTGGACAGCCAGAACTCAAGGTGAGCAGAGCTACTGATTTTGGCACTGCAGTTCAGTCTTTCTTACTAAGTCAAACTAGTACTCTTCACCAGTGCAGGAAGATACAGGGATAGTCTTAACAAATCCCTTTGGAAATTCATTTTTAAGAACTCTCTATCCATCTGAATGGAAGACACAATCTTATTTCCCAATCATTTTCACACAATTAGCTCAAATATCAGCACTAAAACAGTGAGCAACATCTGTTTTACAAAATCCTTTTTTTTGTAAAGATATGCTCCACCACATCTAGGAAAAAAAAAGCAAATGGTGGACTCCTTCAGGACAGGAGTTTTCCCACAGTGAATGAAATGTTAGACCCTCTCAACATAAAGGCAACTGTGTGCATAAAAGTGACCCAAGATACACTGCTCAGGTGTAAAACAGCTAAAAACACTTACCGGTGTTTTTCTCAGGCGCTCGTATTCTGGACGATACTCTCTGAAAAGGTAAATAAAGGGAGTGCATTCAGTCTGAAAAACACAGGATTTGTATTGCATAAGGATCATCCTGGAGGCTTCTTTTTACTCAAAAAAAAAAGTTTTCTCTAAGCTTTCATGTTTGAGAGACATTTCAGAAAGACTAACAGTACTTTTTTCCCCAGATTTGGATTCAGAAACCAATGGATGCAAAATCAGTGAACAGACTTCATTAAAACAGCAACAATTCAAAACTTGGTATGGAATTACAAGAAAAAAATTACTTCACACACTTGCTGGCACAGATAGCTTTTACTTTTTCACGGAACAGCACAAAAATTCACGTCTGAATAGTTCCTTTTTACTGCTGCTTTTTATGCTGATACTGGACACCCTAGGCTACCTTGGCTATGGCAACTGTACACTCCTTCAAATCAAAGGAGCAGACTCATGAATCAGGACCTTCAGGAAGTGGTCACTGGGTCGCGGACCAGAAGTCATCCCCTTACCTCTCCTATTCATCTACAGCTTTAGAAAGCTGGGTAAAAAACTCACCCGGTCCTGTGCCAAACACTGCAGGAACACCAACCACCTGGAAAAGAAAACACACCAGAACTAGAGAGTAACTGAGCCAGATTTTTAATCCAGAAAAAAAAACAAAATAAAACCAAACAAACGAACAATCCCCCACAACGACAACAAAAAAATCAACACCACCGAAAAACCCAACAACAACAAACTACTAATCTAAACCTAACAACACCCATTGAATCAGCACAGTGGCCTAAGAGTGGGCAGTAACACTTGTGCTTCTGTCCATCCCGCTTTCAAACTCTTCCTCCACTTGCTGTTCACGTTTGTTACTTCCGCTTTTTGGTTGTCGGTGATTTTCTGTTTGGTGAGTTGTTGGGGTATTTTGGGGGGTGTTTCTTTGGGGAAGGAGGTTTGTTTGGTATTTTTTAACACTGTAGGGCAATTCAAAAGAAAGGTCAAGTCTTTCTGCTGTTGACTTGTTTATTGTTAATAACCCAAGTTCTCATTCTGCATCTAGGGTTATAAGTGGTTAGCAAGTATCAGTGTACTAGAATTAAAGTGCAAAAGAGACAACAAGAACTGACCTTTTGGCTCTGAAACAGTCTAATACTTTTTATTTAGCCAAAGCACATTTAAAAGGTCCCCAGAACAGCAAGAGAGGGAGAATTTAATCAGTTGCTATGACAATACATTCAAAATGCACATCTAATTTCTAATTTCAACTTGTCTCTCATTACACTTCTGGCAATTTGTTCTGCTTGTGTTAAATCAATTCTCTAAAAATACCTTGAATTAAGACTATTACCAGCCAGAATCCTACATCCTCTAATGAAAATTCTCCCTCTTTTTCATAGGCAAGACAGTCTCAACTACTGACTTCCAAATGGAAGACCTTTCCCAACACAGCCTTGCATTTGATCATTAATACAGTAAATATGCAGACAGCTCTCCAAAGGATTTTAAGCATTAAGGCTAGGCACTGTGCCAATATACATAAATATTTATACTTTCCCTGCACTTAAGTACAAGCTGCCTTTTACTCCGTAATCCTCTTCATATGACCTGCTCTCCATCCAGCGCTCCAACAGTCCTGACAGGCAGATAAATATGACCTGATCAGCAAATAAGGAATAGGAAGTATGTTAGTTCTGTATATGGGACCACTACAATCCCTTTTGAAATTCTGTATATTGTTCCACATAGGACACTTACAATATTTTTGTTTTGGCTCTGTTATCATTATCTACATGAATGGAATCATTCAGTTCCTGGAATATCCACACAGCCAAGAAGGCTTGCTTTTTCTTTAGTAAAAGCTGATGACAAACACAATCAGCTAAAACCTTCAGCACAGACTATGGGATTATTAGCAGCCTCCAATGTATAGTGTTGTCAGAGAAACAATTAATTTGTCCTCTCAAAACCTGGTCGAGTGGAAGAACAATCTTCTTCTTGCACAAGCAAATATAAAGGGTTTTTTTGTTCATTTATTTGTTTTTGAGATTCTTTCCCTTCTTCCTGTGTAGTAGCAAAGAACACTGCCTCTTACCAGCCTATCTTAGCTTTCATCTTGTGATTAATCACAGTTCAATATTAAATTATTCAGGCTGCCATTCAGTGTGACAAGCTGCAGTGTAACAAGCTGCAGTGTGACCTCAACACAGGTCATCAACAGATTACAGTTCAAAAGGGCAGTGCAAAGCTCCTTTACAGAAGGACAGAATGGTGGGGGTTGGACAATACCTCTGGAGATCACCTAGTCCAATCTCTGCTGCTCAAAAAGCGGCATTAGGCAGAAAAGGTTGCTCACGACTTTGCCTGAGCAAAAATGTTTTAAGCATCTCCGGAGATGGAGACTCCACCATTTCTCTGGACCAGTCCAGACGAGGACTTCTTAAGTTATTGTTTTCAGTGGGAAAGCAGGGACAGAAACAAGCGATCCCAAAACTTCAAACCCATCCCCACAGCGGTCCGGAGCAGCTCGAGCCCAGGCTCCTGCCTTCCCAGGGCCGGGCTCTTCTCTCTGCGGGGCACCCGCCAGCCGAGCACTGCCCTGCCCGGCGGCCCCGAGCGCTTCAGGCCCGGCCCGGGCAGCGCCTCGCTCTGCGCGGGCGCCGCTTCCCAGCCCGCCCCGAGCGCCGGGCCCTGCCTCGCAGTCGCCGCCTGGCGGACACGGCCGGGAGCGGCACTGCAGCCCCGCGCCCCCCCCACACCCTTGGCGAGACGGGCGGCGCCTTTCGCGAGTAGGGGCCTTTCTTCCCTAAAACCTGCCCTTCCCTAGGGAAAGCTGAGCAATTCACAGAGTTGCTGTTTCCACCCCAGCTTCCCAAAGGATTTCTCTCTCCCGGCAGCACAGACAGGGTCCCCGAGGCAGCGCAGACCCTCCCCGCGGGGGGGGCGGGGGGGCTGTGCAATGCCAGGGCACATCCGAACCCGGGCCTGCGGCGGCACGCAGGTGCAAGTTTCTCCGCAGAGGCGAGAAACTTGCCTGTCGCTTCCCCTGCCTGCGGCCCGACGGCCGCGGGAGAGGCAGAAGAGCGGCCGCGCCCCCGCCGCGCCCCCGCCGCTTACCCCGGGGACGATCTCCGTCGGATCTGCCGCCGTGGGTCGCTTCCGGGGGGAAAAAGCGGCGGCGCAGCCCCGACAGCATCTCCGGGGCACGGCA